AATATTCTATAACAGTATGATAATATAAGTAGAAAGAATAATATATATTTTTGTATTAAATTATTAATAAAAATAATATTACATTTTTTTTTAATTTTTTTAAATATCACATATGTATTTATTTAAAAGTATACCATTTAGATTTTTAGGTAATCACAAATAAAAATTATAAGATAATAGACATATGAATCAATATTCTAAAATATTTGTCTTAATTTCTTGCTCATTATTGTCATTTAAATATTCTAACATTTGTATACAAAAAGATACTGTAAAAAGATACGAATTTCTTATTAGTTCTTAGAAGCAAATCCGATCCGGTCGTTCTTCATGTCGAACTCGATAAAGTATCGACGTATAAATACATTTCCCAAAATCCATATTGATTCCACATATTCATCATTGGAATGTAGACTCTCAAAAGCGCTTATACATTCCATAGTATCGTTCTCTGTAATCTACAATAAATTAAATACAGCAAGCCATTTCTATTCTAAAACAATTTAAAATGTAATTTGATGTTATTTACGGAATAAATATAATCTGTAGGAGTGACTTCGAATGATTTACCACCTATGAAGAAAGTGATATTGGGTAAGTAAAGAATCCTACTGCAGTCCACCTTTAAATGAAACTTAATGTTAGTAAACTATATTAATGTAATCAGTAATATATTATACGTTTATTAATATATTTCGTAGTATATTTCATAATTTATTTAATGGTGGAAGAGAGCTGCCACTATACGAAAAGTGTCATTATTTACAATTATTTTTTCGTTAATATAAGTAGCTCCGATCAGTTCGTTAATAATTTCAATATCCAATAGTGGTCCAATTAACATATTAGTACCCGTGTCGACAATAGTTTCACAGCTATTCGAGCACAAACTGCTATGTCCTATTTGAATCCTAAAGTGCGATTGTATTAACAATTATATACAATTTATTGCTGATACACACATACATGTAATATAGAAAATAGACACCTACTTATCCATCGTAAATTGCCAGTATCCTTTATGAGTAATATTAACATATGTAAGCTCGTCTAAATAATGATTGGGATCGGAGCCACCCAATATCAGTTCACCAGCAAATTTGGACATAGAATTTCTGTACAAATTATATTTATTTTTTAATATGAAAAACAAATTTTATATTGTAATATAAGAAGACAAACTATGTAAATAAAAAATATTTTTAAACACCCGTAGCGCATAAAGAATAATACATGCCGATTTAGATAAAAACTAAAAACTGGCTCCACCAAGCCTTGTTTAATCATGTTATTAAAAACGGGAGTCATTCCTGTGGCAACTACTCCTTCGGGGTATCCCATTCCCAAGATACCGTCGAATGTTGCATATAACAAGGCGATTCCCAATTGGCTTATTGCTTCCCCGAATGTTTGATTTTGAATATTAACGCCAGCAATCTACAAGGAATCGATATAATAATTTTTAGGAAATTTTTATAAATTATTATTAAAACTATATAGAATACTGTAGTCTTGATGATGACTCACATACTCACATTCACTACATCCATAGATAAATATCCAGACACCTTACCACTCTCATATGAAATATTGAATGCAGTATCATTTTCCACGTATGTACTAGATTTTTCGTATTCATATCTATTATGTGTCCCTGTATGAAATAGTACGTAAAAGTACATTAATTAAAAATTCTAGACATTAATTTTTCTGTATTAATTTAAATATATGTATAATTAACAATTGTTAAATCATTAGGTATATTTATATATTTTGCATTAAAACGTGATTTGTAACTTGTGGCATAGTTCGTTTGCACTCTTAGAATAAGCATGATAAATAAAATAAATCGCATGTATAAATTGTGAAACTTAGCTTAGATAATATTTATCTGCTCGCTGATTTTAATTTTCATAATATTGAAACTTTTAATATTAAAATCTTTAGGTTTCCTTTCACTATTTTAAACTTTACTATAGATAAAAAAGATACAATTCTACAGCATCGTCCCTATTTTAAATCTTTACGTCAATTATATCATTTTGACATGAATAATTTAAATAGAAAAGCAATAAAAATTATTTCCGTATGTACAATAATAATATTGTTAAATACAAATGTAATTTTATATATAACAAATAAAATATTAAAGAAATAGCGACGTTAATATGATATACTCACAGCAAGCAGCGTTGTTCAGATCACAGTTTGAAGACGCTACCCAGAAATCTGAGGAACCAGTGTCGATAAGTACTTTAAACTTCTGCGGTGGAGTTCCGATTGTGATAAAGCCGTAGTACGAAACATCGTCATCATTAAATAAATGTTCCCTTAAAACGCTAACACTTCTAACTAAACGATGTCGACGATCGATGCCAATCGATCTTTGAATAGAGTTTGTTTTGTATAACGAAATTCTTAAAGTAACATAAAGAAAATTTTATTATATTTTATGTATGTATGATTATACGAATATTATACAATATATACAAATTGAATAATCATCTTCAAACGCTTTCTAATTTTGAAAATTAATAAAGCCTCAATAATTTAGTGTCAATAAATAAATACTATCTTTATTTATCAATTTATGTATTACATGATACTATTTTATATTCGTGACGCTTATCTCATTTAAGCCATGATAAAGAAAAAGTGCAAGCCTCGAAGAAAACCTCAAGCATTTTTTATCTGACATATAAAATACAATTTTTCATAAATTTGTTCTAATTATCATTGGAGTATTAGTCGCAAATCTTCGTTTACATGTGCTCAGCTCACCTTCGCAATTCCGCGTTGATCAGCACAGCGAATGCGGCGATCGTCACAAAAAGTCGGAACATGTTTTTCGAATTTTCTGATGATTAAAGTTGCAAGAACTAAAAAGATTTTAGGGACGTTGTAATTCTCTTTCGCACGAAGTCTTTCTCTTCACAGTCAAAACGCATAACAGAAAAAGGATGTACTTGATCAATTATTAGTACTCCCAATATAAATACTGTTTATAAATAGAAAAGATACAATATTTATATACGAGCTTATGTATGTACGTTCTTGTGTTTATAACAGAGTGAAAAGTATGATAGAATGCGCGAAGCGTTCTAAAAGCAATCTTAATAGCTCAATCTAATATATAATATTTTAAAAAATTATATTTTTCATATACGCATACTTCACATATACTCATTAATGAGTTTCGATAAATTTAAATAAATTTAATGATTATTAAAAAAGATGAAATTAATATTTGAAAGAATATTATTGTCTTGATAGGATAGTTTAATTAATATTATAAATATAACGTTTCCACATTAAGCTTGAATAATCATACATTGCAATAAACTATTTCAAAATTCTAAGTATTTTTGAAATTTCCGAGAACATTCTCAATGTCAAAAATGATTTTAAATTTTTAAAAATTTTCTACATTTCCAAGAATTTGAAATTTTTTGCTATAAAGACTTAAATTTTTAATAATCGGCAAGATATTGAAATATAATTAGGAACAAAGTAAAATAAATATATTTCAATTTAAAAAAATTATTTTTTTTACAATTACATTATAAGTAAGATTATGATAGATATAATAACATTATAGATAGAGATAAGTAAGATTATGACAGAGATAATAACATTATGTTTAAATATTGAAATATTATTAAAACTCACTAGAATATAATTATAAATAAGTAAAATAAAAATAAATTATATACGTTCTTAATCAAATATGTAAACGTGTTCTCAAAATCGAAAACAGATAACATATACTTAAGTCACATATATAAGATATTTTATTTATTTTAGAATAATGTTGTTTAGGAAATGTGTTTGAAATATATAAATAAATTATAAATAAAAAATAAGCTATGAATAGAAATCATTATTCAAAAAAATTTGTCTTAATTATTCATTTATTACTGTCATTTAAATCTTCTAACATTTAGAAGTAATGTTGAAAAGTCAATCGATAATTATTTTGCAGGGGCAAATCCCATTCTGTGATGCCCCATATCGAACTCGGTATAGTATCGTCGAAGAAATATATTGCCCAAAATCCATATTGGATTTTCTACATAATTTGTCTGAAAGAAACTTATGCACTCCATCTCATTTTGTTTATTCTACAATAAATTAAACAAGCATAATATTTTCTATTATAAAACAATTTAAAACAAACAAAAATGATTTTGTAATAATATTTCTTTATATTCTAAACGTTATTTGATTATATATATTTACCTTAAAGATATAATCTTTACTAGTGAGACTGAATATTTTACCGCCTATGACGAAATCAATATTGGGCAAATTAGAAATCTGATCACAGTCCACCTTTAATTTAGAATTAATAATCTATATTAGTAATATATCACAAACATTTATCTATTTATTTTAGAATGTTGAAAGAGAATTGCTACTGGAAACAGTTGTTATCTATTATTTACAATTGTTTCGTCGTTAAAAGCAATAGCTCCGATCAGTTCGTTAATAACAGCGATATCCCATGATGGTCCTATTAGATCGGAGGTGCTCGTATCGATAACAGCTTGACAACCATTCTCGCATACGATGCTACTTCCTATTTGAACTCTACATTATGACAGCAATAATAATTAGATGGTATATAACTAGGCAACAATAAAGATGTATCCTAATGGCTGCATTAAAACAATTCTTATTAATTTTGTGATGCTGGTAACGAATATGTCAAATTGAATTAAATATTAGCTTTGGTTTTCATAATACATTAATTGTAAGTATTAATAATCTGTCTTGTAAATGATTATAAATATTAATAATCAGATATCACTGTCCAACGCCTTGCGATACAATAATAATCGAGTAGTCATTTTCGATGTATTTTTATCTGCTAACTACAAATTTATTGTAAATACAAACTTGACTATTATGTCATAATTAAAAAAAAATAACGTCAAAAAAGTGTTAAACAAATTGATTAGTGTTCAACAGACAAAAAATTCGAAATTTCTGGTCATACCCACGATAAAAAGAAAAAATTAAATTTTATTGCCCAATGCAATCTGTATAAATCGACATACGCATAATTTAGAAAATAATTACGTACTTGTCTATGGTAAATTGCCAGTATCCTTTGTGGGTAACATTAACATACGTAAACTCGTCTTCATAACGAGCGGAATTTGAACCACCCAATATCAATTCACCACTTGTCGAGTACAAAGGATTTCTATACAGATTATATTTTTTAAATATTTTATAGAAAGATAATATTTTTTTAATATATGAAAAGACAAATTTTGTATAAGAGAGGAAGCAAACTATTTAAAATATTTAAATTTAAAATATTGTTAGATACATACCGATTTATATAGATACTAAAAACTGGTAGCTCTACCAGGCCTTGTTCTATCATGTTTATAAAAACGGGAGTCATCCCTTCAGAAGATATCTCAAGGTAACCCATTCCTAAGATACCATCGAATTTCGAACGGGCAAAATTGGATCCCGATTTGGTTAATGCTTCTCCAAATGTTTGATATTGAACATCAAAACCAGCAAACTACAAAGTTAATGTTTTTTTTAGAAAATCTTTATAAAACTTTATATAACTAAGATGGAATAAGCTTGCCTGATAATTACATTCACTACATCAGTAGATAAGTATCCATATACACTACCCCTGGTGTATGGAATATTGAACGGAATATTATTTGGTGTGTATGTGCTGGATTTTTTATTGTCATATCTATTATGTGACGCTGTAAAAAATAGTACGTAAAAGTAAATCAGTTGTTATTAAATATTCTAGAAATGAAATTCTTTTCAATAACTGTATGTAAATTAATAATATTTTAAATTATTAAATATATTAATACTTATATTTTTTACTTTAATACATGAGCTGCATTTTAGATCTATTAAAGATCATTTGTATATTTACAAAATAAGTATGAAATAAAATAAACAAACAAAAAAATAAACAGAATAAACCGCTTGATTTTGAACATATATAGTACCATAATATTTGTCTATTTAATAATTTTTATTTTTTAAAGAAGATTTTTTTAGAACTTTCAGACTTTAAACCGTTTAAAAAATTTCACATGAATGAAGAGATACAATTCTCTGGAATCGTACTTAATAATTATTAAAGTAAAAAAAACTATTAAAATTATTTTCATATGTGCAATAAGAATATTAAATACAAATATATTTGTGTAAATAATAAAATAATTATAAGTAAACTTTAAACCAAAGGATATAAACCAAATTAAAAAAAATATTCTAGTTTTCCACTAGAATTGTTAAAATGAACTTGATGCTAAATAATGCTTTATATGTAAAATTTCCGAAAACAAGTTCAAATTCTATAAACTACACTCTAATTCGATTTGCCGAATTTAAAGTGTAATCATAAACTAATGCTGGAAATAATATCATAAATCACATTGATTGTAAATTTTGATAATGATATTAATAAGCATTTTATATAATAGACTATCAAAGAAATAGCGATGTTATATAATACAGACTGTGTTCAAAAATCCACTGCTGGTATAGTACTGAAAACCTGCATTACATGCACTATAGTTTTTCAATGGTTTTTTCGATTAATTTTGAAAACGCAACCATAACTTACAGCAAGTAAGTCGACATTTTTTGGATGGTACCCAGAGATTTGAGGAACCAGTATCAATTTGTACTTTAAACTTCTGCGGTGGAGTTCCAATTGAGATAATGACATAGTATGCAGAATTATAATCATTAAACAGAGGTTGCCTTACAATGCCAATATTCGGAGCCAAAGTAATCTGTCGACGATGAATGTCAGACCCTCTCAAAGATTTTTGAATAGAGTGTATATTGTACAATGGAATTCTTAAAAAGCAATAAAAAAAATTTATACGTATACTTATACGTACCACTTATAAGTGAATAATACGCATATACATATAAATTATACAGCATACGTACAAACAAATTTTGAAAAAATCATCTTCAAATATTGTATATTTTTAAGAACTATTAAAGTTTCAATATTTTGATATTAAAAAATAAATATGCTATCGGGATTAAATTTATTTACACATTAGAATAAAGTTTAGGTCTTTTAAATGCTTCATTCGTAATGCTTATGTGTTTTAAGATGTAATAAAGACGATAAAAATGCAAGCCTCAAACTTCTTTACCTGCTGACTTTACAACCGAACAAAGTACATTTTTCTACAGATTTATAATATTAACATTTATTGCCAATGCGTTACATTTGCTCACCTTAATAATTTCGCGTCGATCAGTACAAATATTGCGACTGCAACAAAAAAACGAAACATGTTTCCCAAATTCTCTGATAATTAAAACTACAAAAATCAAGAAGGTTTCAGAGATGTTGTAACTTCTTTTCAAATCAGGCTACAACCAAACCGCATAACAGAAAAGAAACAAAATCAATCATTAACGCTTATATATATTGTATATATGCTACTTATGTCTGGAGACACGGTAGCGCTATGAAAAGCGAAGCGTCATGATATAAGCTTACGTATATACATGTTTTTATTTAAAAATGTGAGAAGGACAAAAAAGGACGCAAAGCGTTTTAAAAGCGATAACAGTTCTTTTCATTAATCTAATTTCTAATTAATTTTTTAAAAAATTCTTTTCGCACATATTTCGATTATACGTATAATATTAGTGTAATTATATATTTTAATAAATTCAATGATTAATGAAAAACAAACGAAATATTAATCTTCGAAAGTATACATTGTTTTCCTTGAAGACATAGACTTATGCAAGCAGTGGTATAATATGAAAAGGATACTTTCGTTCCGTTTGATAAAGCACATTGTAACAAAATACATTACTATGTATTTTAAGTCAGCATAATATTTTCAGATGCTTTTATATCATTTTTTTGCACATACGTTATAACATGTAAAATACTCACAATTAACATTTAATTAGAACTCTGTTTTTGCATCATGAGAGATACGTCCAAAAGATATATTTAATAAATTAAAAAATAGACTTTAGAACTAATTATAAGCTAATGAGCAATTATAAGTTAATTAACAAATGTACAAGAACAGAAAAGTCTGTAATATTACTTGTACACAAATCTGTATTATTATGAAACCTAAAGAATTTATATGGCAAATACTGTATTTTCTTTAAAAATAAATATATCCAAAATATCTGGTTTCCGATAAAGCAGTCACTTTTAAGAACTATAAGATTCAATTATAATAAAGATAATTATAATAAAGATAAAACCGGATCTATTAAAACGAATGCTAAATTCCGTAATGGTATCGCGTTACGCAGAAGTCACGTAAAGAAAAAAGGAAAAGTAAGGAATTCATTAAGAATTTAATAAACATTGCTTATATAAGGGATATCAATTATACTATAAGATTAAGGATATTATTCAAGATATTATTAAAGAGAGATTAAGTTGACATATGACATCCGTAAAGTTTTGTTCATTATACTAATGAGCTAAAAATTTCTTTATAAATCGATTCTTGAGAGAAAAATGAGAAACTGTTGGCACATAAATGACACATTTCACAGAATGTTTAACTTACTGTTCTAGCTATTTTCTTTTATTATTATTATTGAGTTAAACATTATCATTATGTATTGATATTGTATTATGATTAATTTTTTCTGTAACTTAAAAGCAATTTTAGTGTTGAAAAATTCCAGTTCTTATATCGGTTCGATTATCTTTTTTCGTCGCATTTTATTCAGCACTATTTGTAATAGTTCCTTGTAAGTTTTTAAAATACGTTTAAATGCAAATTTATATTTATAATAAAAATATTAAAAATGATAATTATATAAAAGACAAATGTTTATGATGTATAAAATAGTATTTTTTGAATTATCATATTTAAGTAAAATTGAAGGGTTAATATATAAAATCAACATATCTACATATGATAGGAAATATATATGACAGGAATGTATACTTTATTTTAATAGACTTCAATATATTCATAATAATATCATGTCATAACACAATATTATACTAAACGAATAGATTGTACTAAATCAATAAAAATAATGTTATATATACACTTCTGTTGTAATTTTCACATATATATCTAAGAACCGCATAGACAATCACAAAAATTCATAAGGTAATAAACATAGAAATTATTGTTCCATAAACTTTATCTTAATAATTCGCCTATTATTGTAATTTAGATCTTTCCAATATTTATCTATAAAAATGTGTGAAGAGAAATAAATTTCTTATTATTCATTACTCTTCACACAGGCGAATCCTATCCGGTCATGCACCATGTCAAACTCGATATAATGCCGACGTAAAAATGCTTCACCCAAAGTCCACGCTGGATCGCCCTCATACTGATAATCACTCACGAAGGCACTCATACATACCAATTCATCGTCATGCATTTCCTACAACGAATCAAATATGACATGACATTTCGATTCTAAGAAAATTTAAACCGTCACACATTTGAAAATATAATATTATATTTACCTTAAGAATATAATCTTTACTAAAGAGTCTGAATTTTTTAAAACCAGCTATGATGAAATCGATAGAGGGCAAATTATCAGTCTTGTTGCAGTCCACCTTTAAACAAAGCTTAGTATTAGTAAATTGTGTTAGTGTAATCAATAATATATCAAATTTCTATTAATATATTTCAATAATCTATTAAATTTATTTAATATTAAAAGAGAACTGCCGTTGTAATAAATGTCACTATTTACAAATATTCCTCTCGTAAAATTATTATGATCAGCTCCTATCCGGTTATTAATAATTGTGATGTCTGTTGATGGTCCAATTATCAGAGAAGTACCTGTGTCGACAATAGCTTGACAGGTATCCTCGCATAAAGTCTTATCTTCCATTTTAATTCTACAGTGGAATAGCATTACTATTTATCTGGCATATAATTTGTAGCTGACATACAATGTGCAATTTAAAAAATAATAACGTACTTATCCATAGTAAATTGCCAATATCCCTTTTCGGTAACATCAACATACGTAAACTCGCCTTCGTATAACCTGTCATCGGAATCTCCAAATAACAGTTCACCATCCCATTTGGCATTAGGATTTCTGTATAGATTATATATTGTTTAATGTGAAAAGACAAATGTTGAGTTTGAGAAAACAAACTATTTAAAAGAAAAAATATTTTTTAGACACGCGTAATGTATACAGAAATATACGTGCTGTTCAATATAGAAACTAAAAATTGGCTGTTGCACTAGCTGTTGGTTAACCATGTTGGTAATAAGTGGAATCACTCCTTTAGTAGATAATGATGGATAACTCAGTCCCAAAATTCCGTCGTAATTTGCATATTGGAAGGAACTTCCGTACATCTCTGTTGCTTCCCCGAATGTTTGTTTTTTAACATCAAGGCCTGCAACCTATAAAAAAAGTGATGTGTTTCTTTAGAACACTTTTATACTTAACAATTGAGACTAAATAGATATTTGCTTGATGACAACTCACATTCACTAAATCAGTTGATAAATGTCCAGCAACAGCGCCATTACCGTATCGAATTCCGAAAGATCTACCATCTGGTCTATATGTACTGGATATCATGTGATCATATTTATTATGGTTTACTGTGTAAAATATAATACACGTAAAAGTAAATCAGTTAATACATTACAATTTTAGATTATAAATTTTTCTGTATCAATATGATATGTATAATTAACAATAGTTTAAATCATCAAATGTATGAATATTTATATTTTTTATTTTAATACATGATTTATAAAATCATGTAAAAATCATTTATTTCATAAGAATATAAGCGTGACAAATATCTAAATTAAATCACACGTAATTGAGAAACTCAGTTCCAAATAATATTTATCTGCTCAATGATTTAACTTCTTAAGCATTAAAACTTTTAAATTTTTAATTATTCAAAAAATTTTATTTGAAATGTGGATAGAAAAGACACAATTCTACATTGTCTCTATTCTATATTTCTATCGTTATACATCAACCATTAAAATAGAAAAAAGCAATAAAATTATTTTTATATATGCAATAATATTATTAAATATAAACCATATTTTTACAAATAATGGAATATTGAAGATATAACGATGTTATAGTATATACTTACAGCACATGCCGTGCCTTGTTTTGTGAGTACAGATATAGGATGGTACCCAGAGATCTGAGGAACCAGTATCTATAAGTACATTAAACGGCTGCGGTGGAGTTCCAATTGTAATATTACCATAGTATGCAATATCCCCATCACTAAACAGAGGTTGCCTTGCAGTTGAACGAGTCAGTCGATCAAAATTTATATCAATCGCTCTTCGCTTAGAGTTTACCTTATGCAACAACAATCTTGAAACAATATAAATAAAATTCCATATTATATTTTACATATATATATTGACGTACATATGTGTCATATATATACATATACATCAATATATAAATATCGTATAATAAGATATATATAAATTGATTAATCATTTGCAAATTATTTTTATTTTTGAAAATTATTAAAGCCTCAATGAGTTAGTATTAAGAAATAAATGTTATCTATATTTTAATTTCGCATCAAATAATGATTAATTACTTTAAATGCTAATTTCTCTATTCTTATGTCATCTAAAAGAACAATTGCTAATTTAATAGTTATTTGTCAAACATCAGACTGTATGCACCAAAGCATGCATCTATGCTTATCATTCAAAAAATCGAGCAAATCGTAAAATTCGATTTTAAATTACAAAAATTTACAAATCGAAGAAAACCTTAAACATATCTTTAGAAATAATGGAACATTGTATATTTGAAGAATTTGCATGCGATATTTCTCTATTTATAAAGACATTCTTGGTTTTTGCTGTCCATTTTACTCTGACATACAAATTACATACAAGTATATTTTAGAAATTTGTCCTAATTGTAGTTGAAATATTTATTTCGCAAATTATTAAAATATTTGCGAACGCCGTCACAAATCGATGTTTATACACGGTTACCTTCGATATGAAACGTTGAGTACGACGAGTGTCGCTATCACCACCAAATGTCGAAACATGTTTCCAAATATCTTGGTAATTAAAGATACAAAAATTAAGATTTTAGAGATATTGTAATTCCGTTTCAAATTTATCCACAACCAAAATGTACAATAGAAAAAGGACAAGTCAATCAAATTACTGTTCCGAATGCTGTTTATATACAAGTTCATATATCTGTTTGCATTTATAAAAAGGTGAAAAGGATAAACGTGCGATATGTTCTAAAAGCATTCTCCATAGTTTATAATCTAGTCCTTAATCATCTTTTAAAAAATTTTTCATATATAGTTCAACTAAGCGTTATTGTTTTTTATCGTTTCTTATATACTCATATTTCACATATACTCATTAATATGTATGACTTATTAACATGATACGATAAATTTAAATAAATTCAACGATTATATATAATTGAAAAGGGACAAAATTAATCTTCAAAAGATTGTATTGTTGACTTTGATAAAATGTTTATATAAACATTAAGTATGATATTTTCACGTTAAGATTGAATATAGTATCATATATTGTAACGGATAGAAAATTCTAAAAATTTTTCGTAATTTTCAAAAATATTTTTATTGTTAATAAGAATATTTTTAAATATTTTAAAATATTTTGATTTTCAAGAATTTGGGACTTTAAATTGCAAAAATTTTAATTCTCAAAAATCGGCAAGATAAATGCATTAGAAACAAGTTAAAATAAATTATAACTTTAAAAATTTATTTTTTTTTACATTTATATTATGAGTAATACTGTGATAGATAAAATATTATCTTTAAACATTGAAATTATTGTTAAAAACCAATAAAATATAATTATAAATATGTATAATATAGTCAATAAATTATATGTATATGTCTTTAATTAAATATTAATGACGTGTTCTCAAAACAAATAATATGTATAAATGCAATAGATATATACTTAAATTATATATAAGATATTTCATTAAATGTAGGATATTTATTTAAAATACGAATAAGTGGAAAAAGAAAGTAATAAGAAGGTATTAGATGACAAGTATAGATGATTGATTGTTTGTCGTTTATATCATACTCCTCAGTCTCTAACTGAAAATGCTGTTTCGACATTTGCATCCTGATGTGTTGTTGAAGCTACTGTTTATCAGTAGTTTGCGCTGAAAAAACTTTTTTAATCATTTTAATTTTTGATACATTTTTGACTGTTCAATACAAATTCATTCTTCATTTGTCTATTTTCGTATGTCACAATTTTGAAAAAAAAAACGCCAAAGGTGAAAAAATGACGATTTTAATAGTTTTCATAATGTTCATAGAAAAGCATTGGAAACAAATTATATATA